ATATATATATATATATATATATATATATATATATATATATATATAAAACTACTGAAGTGATTAAACAGTTAAAAATGTATTAATCTTGTATATGAAAATATTATGCAAATTACAGACAGTATATATACATTTTAACTTTTAGTTTAAAATAAAATTCATATGACTTTAATCTACAAACTGTAATATCTATTTGACAGTTTGTAGTTAGCAAGATTATTATTATTTTTTTTTTTGTAAGAAATCGTGTGTGCTTACCATGGCTGCATTTATTTGATCCAAAATATAGTAAAAACAGTAATATTGTGAAATATTATTAACATTTAAAATAAGTGTTTTCTCTTGGATTTTATTTTTTTTATTTTTTCCTAGTGATGTTAAAGCTGAATTTTCAGGATTTGTTTTTTTTCCCCCCAGGATTCTTTGATGAAAAGAAAGTTAAAATATAATAAAATATAATTTTTTTTACTGTAGTTTACTGTCACTTTTGATCAATTTAATTCACCCTTGCTGAACAAAGGTATTATTTTCTATTAAAAAAAATTAATACATTCATACTGACCCCTATTACCTAATGGTAATATTTATTATAATTTGTATGTAAAATTCACATACATTTTAACCTAAATTCTTGATGTTGATTACAAAAGCCCATTGAGTCCATGAAGACATTAGAATTGACACAGAATTGCAACATTCAGTAACCATCCAAACACAGTGCCAAGTCAACATTAAACAAGTGAAAGGTGAGGACAGGCGTTACGACTGTAAAAACAATCCCTCGGTCCGTCAGTGTCTTTGCAGTGGCTCTGACTCTTGAGGTTCAGCTTGAAAGACTGGAGGGGAGTCAGGAGACAGAGCTGAGGCCTTGTTTACATGGCCTCCCCATATTAGCCCGGGGTTAGCCCTGCCCACAGCATTTTTGGGATGGTTGGGTAAGAAAAGTGTGGTGGCGGGGAGATGGGATTGGAGAGGCGCTGACAGAGATGGTGTGTGAAAAAGAGCCAACTCCTCCAGCCTGGATACCAAAAGGCCTTTTTGTTATCAGTCACTAGAGGGAGAGTGACAGAGCGAAGAGTCTCTGTTCACTGCACACACACACAGATGAGACTGGATCGTAATGGTCACGGTCTTATTTGGACCGTAAAAGCCCAGAAGAGGTAGAAGAAGTGTTTGGGGAGGACTGTTGAAGCTGATCTGCTCTGAGGTAAAGTTGTGTGAATGATTTGTCCTTCACTTGACTTTTTGTGTCAACCACAAATGGATAGAGAAAAAATAAAGACAAAATTCAAGTTTAAAACTTCAATTTTTGTTGCTGTGTTTAAATGCTAGATTGTAATAGCTTGAAACTTTTATTGTAATGAATTAATGTATTTGTTCCTCCCTTTTGCTATAATGTTAAAGGTGACATTTGTCAGACATTCTATTCTCTGTTGATTTATTTCCCAACCAGAATGTTTGAAAATCAGAAATATCACTTTTGACATAGTTGCAAATTATTTGGTGTCGTTATCATTTTGCTTTATTTGAGAATATTTGGCACATTTCTTTGATTTTATTTTTTATTTCATTTTTATATTATTTTGTTTATTTAGTTAGTTGTGTTTAGTTTATTTTATTTGAATTATATTTAAAATATTTATATATTGTTTTTATTTTTATTGTTTTCTTCAAATAATGGAAATAAAACAAATCATTTTATACATTTAAAAATAAATACAAATAAATAGATCATCACAAGTAAATATATTTGTATTATTACTTTTTAATTTATTTAAAATTTTTATAAAATCTGTTAATTGGCTGCTAGCTAACAATATATTCAGGCAATATATTTCAGTCAAAAGTGCAGATAATTGACAAATCATGTGCCAAAAGTATGATTATACCCTCATTATTTTTGTTGAAGCATAATATGAAGTTTTCCAAGGCTTCTTGAATTCCAACATGCGTTAAATGCGTTTTCAAGACTCGGAGTGCTAATATACTTAGTTTGAATTAATGAGAACTCAACAGATTTTGATTGTGCCTTTAGAAAAATTGCAGCGTTTCGAATAAATCTTACTGGCTGCATTTTAAGTTCACCAACTCAGACTCATACTAAGTTTTTTTTTTCTCAAGGTTTTGCAGGCACAGCTGATTTCCTTATTATGAGTCTAAGTGTGGTTAGCACATATTTAAGCTAAGCTCTTAAACAGCGTCGACTACGGTTTCATCACAGTTGTTGCAGGATTGGTGTTTGAATTGCGTTTTGGAGTTCAGCTGTGCAAAGCTGAGCTTTATTATGGTCTATTTGTGTGGCTGGCAGTCTAACTGTTACGTAATGAATGTGTCTACACATCAAGCTGGCTTCAATTAAACCTGCTTGCGATGGGCGGCTGGGCGGCTCCATCTTGAACATTTTGTTAATTTTGTGGCTAGAAACCAGTAGCTTTGCCAACAAAATTAGAGAGTTAACCCTTTCAGCAGGCTGTAGATTAGTTCTCAGCACTGTCGTCAACAATTCTAGGCTTTTACTGTCACCATCTGTTAACACATGACACCAGAGGTGCACTTTTCGTGTTTCCCCTCTGACGGATTTAACTACCTGAGGCTGTTTGTTCACGTGTGTGGTCTTCCGGATGTTTTTGTCGCGTGGTTTTGACACAGTGGCAAAAGCTAAGGTTCGTGCACAGATGAGTTGGAATTGGAAATGATATTGAAATGTCCACTGCAGATGATTCCTGATCACATTCTGAGGATTCTGCAATGGAGTAATTTTTATTTTTTTTTGGCCTTTTATACTCTTAATGATGGGGTTAGTAGAATGAGGACAGGAAATGATGATGATGATGGGAAGAGGCTGAATGGGATTGGGAAATGCTGAACTTGAACACCTGTCACCTGTAGGAATGTACTAACCACTTACTTCTGGTGAGTAATGCCTTAAAACACTGAATGGGTCTCATAAAAACTTGTTCAGGTCACATTTTACCACATTTTTAGATAAACAGGCAAAAATAACAATAAATGACATTTTACTAGAAAAAAGGAGGCATATTTGTAGGGCCATTAAGATTTGTTTGTATAACAACAAATTATTATTATTGCAGTACTGTAATGTTTTACTTTTGGGATTTTTTATTTTTATTTTTTTTTTTGTACTTCGTAAAATTTCTCAGTAGTGATTTACATTATATTTCATGCTGTAATATAATTATTATTTAAAAAAAGAAAAAAAAGAATCTACTATAGAAACGCATATTTTTCAAAATTCTTATTACTGGAAAATTGGTATATATACTTCCCAAAATGTTCAGGAGTGATTTACATTGTATTGTATTACTGTAATATTATGTTTTTGAATCAGAATAAATTATAGACATGATGTGCAAACACTATATGATTTATTAATATTATTAATTCAAATCTATTATATATTATTTAAAATATTATTAAAATATATTTATTATTTTTAATTACGGGAAAAAAAGGTGTGATATTAAGATTTTTTTTTAACCAGTATTTCATATTTATAACCAGGTTTCATAATTGTTAAGCTTTCCTCCTAATTACTTTAATGCAATCGGACATTTTGTGTTTGTTTATATATATATATATCCATTGCAGATGATTCTGTATATGTATACAGTGTTGGGGAAAGTTACTTTTAAAAGTAATGCATTACAATATCGCGTTACTCCATAAAAAAGTAACTAATTACGTTACTTTTTATGGAAAGTAATGCGTTACGTTACTTTTGCGTTACTTTTTAAATCTGGACAGGGCTTGCTCTTTTGTTTTTAAAATAAAAAAGTTCTATTTTTGGCAAATATAAAAGCCTTTTCACACCAAAAGTTAAATGAATAAGCCTCAGGCTGAAGGAAAAGTAAACTTACATCCGTGCAGTAGAATACAGAAGAAGTCATTTCAACACACTTCAGCAATAAACAAAGACACATAAATGTTTGTCTAGAGTAATTTTTGCTTATTAGTACGGTTGAACTGGATCATCGAAGGTCAGAAGCAAAGACATTGGTTAATAGAATGGTCTAGTTGTTTGCATTGTGAGTGTTTGTTGCTTAAAAAGGTGCTTAATGAGGAAATGATCCTTGGTTCTGTACCAGAATCTTTAGATTCTGAGATTAAATATGACCCAGGCATGTTCTTGGCAGGTTTTTTGTGAGATTTACCCTAATACTTTGGATAACTAGCAACTAGCCTGGGCATAAATATTTTGTCTGGAGACGCCTTGTGTTTTTAAATGCAGTTGTAGTTTTCTGTAGCAGCTTTACTAATTATCCTTAATGAATTGTGTCATCAGTTGTTTTAGGGATGGATCTTTTCTCTAGCCACAGGTTTTATAAGTTAACTACAGATATAATGAAAAGCCAATTCTACATGCGATACGCTCATAGAAGCAGGGCTACATGTGAGCGGAACCGCAACATGCAGTGTCCATCTGATTTTCAAAGTGCCTCATTTAAATTTTGATTCAGTAATTCATTGTTTTGGTTCTCCAGAGCTCTCTGAGGTCTAATGATGAAGTGTGGGATGAGGAGCTGGTGTGTGCGGTCTGTGTGCGTAAGTGTGTGGAGCGAACGGCCCGGGCCAGTTCCCAACCGCAGTCAGCCACTGCATGCCTATCAAAGAGCCGCCCTCGTTTCACCCGCTCTGTTCCCAGCGCTTTGAGAGGGGTGTGATTGCTTTTCCTTAAAGTCAACGTTAGCGCCAATGAAACGTTACCCGCGAATGGCCTCTCGCTGAAGTCACGAGGAAAGCTGCGTGCATGAAGCTCGATGTCCGGCTTTAGCACTGAAAAATATAAGCAGTGTCTTTCTCCGATTGGGATCCATCAAGTGTACACATCCAAAACAGGAAAAATATGCCCAAAATATCATCTTGGTTCGTATTCGTTTAGACTGCATCCAATTCTGATTTGGTTTTGAGATTCAGTTTTAGGACTGACTCTCAAGTAATGAAAATTGTTTTAGTTTGTCGAGACCATTTAGTCAATATCAGTACATCCAAAGTGTTTTCGTAGTGATGCCTAGTTCTTTCATGAAACTCTAGATGGCGCAGGCTGATGGGTCTTAATGTAACTGATGATGATTGGTTCATGTTGCATCTGCTGCAGGTTATTTTATATGCCATTTGTGCAGCAGTATGCTTAAATACTCACAGCACCGTATCGCCGTATGCAATCTCTAAAATCTGATTTCACAGATGGATATGGTTTACAAAAGGATTGTAAAAATGTCAGATTTTATGTGGCTTTTTGGTGTTTAGATTGTAAACAGCAAAAATTATTTGAATTAGATATGCCAAAAATCATTGTTTTTTTACTGCCTGTCTGAACAAAGATATGATCTTATATTGTTTTAAGGTGCTAACTGCTTGTGGGGATTTAGTTGGAGTAGATGTGGTGAGGTTCTGTTCATTTTTACTGTGCTTTAATCACACAAAGCTTTCCCAACTCTTTCATCTCTGCTTTTATATAAGAGGCCCATCAAAAGCATCTTTAATGCATATTTAATGTCCTGTACTTACCTTATACAGGCTCCATTACCAGAGAGCTCTTGTGATGAGCGTCTGTGAAGTCAAACACAGCACTTTGTCTTCTTCTCAAGTGCTTACACAGTGTTTTCTCAGCAGGTCTTGACCAGAGTTACAGTGACCGCACATTTCATTAAAACTTAAATCACATTCATATTGCTTTAATGGCATAGTACAAAATGCTTTTGTAGCATTTTATATACATTTTATTTAAAAAAGCAGCTATTACTCCAGTCTTCAGAGTCACATGATCCTTCAGAAATTGTTCTACTATGCTGATTTGCTGCTGAAGAAACATTTCTTATTATTGAAAACGGGTGAAAACTATTTATTTATTTATTTCAGGATGAATAGAACATTTTTACATTGCCATTCAAAAGTTTGGGATCAGTAAGATCCATCCAATAGAAACCTTCAAATACGCAAGCAGAACTTGTTTCAATGCTATGAATTTTAATTTATCCTTCATTCTAACTTATTTTGCTTTGCGTATACTAACGGTAAAACTATAAATGAGTTTCCATGTAAGCTATTTTTACATTTAAATAACATTCAGAAACTGTAATTGAACTAAATAAGCATCAATAAATACTGAAAGAAAAAAAAACACAAGAAATGCCATTTATTTATTATTTCATCTGACATGCATAACACGGACCAAAGCGCACAGAGGCGCACTGTAGATGGAGTGTTGAAGACGCGCTAAAAAAGAAACAAAGTATGTTTATTCACACATTGTTCTATCGCTTAATATGTACGTGAGTGTAAATGTCAGCAGCATCATATATGCCAAAAGGATTGAAGGTTGTCGGGTAAAAGAAGAGCATAGCACATCTGCTATTTTATTCCAACTGTTACACCTGACCAGACGCTTCTATAAATATTTAGTTTATACGTAGAGTTACACTTCAACTACGTGTAATGGTGCAACGAAAAAATATTTAGTATCCGACCACGGAGCAGAAGTACATGCCCAAAGCTCCCACACGCACGACCAGCAGTAGGGATGCAGTGCAGAGGGGACTGAATGTGTGGCAACAGTATGGTGTTCCTGAGGTCCCAGTCACAGATGGGGTCACCTTCAACCCTGTGCTACAATCCCACAGCCTTCCGGAGTTTCCTCGCATGACATCTCAGAAAGAAATTGAGCAGTCCATCGAAGCCCTCAACATGCTGATGTTGGACCTTGACCCAGGACTTTCTCAAGTCCCCAAGTCCCATAGTGCCCCATCTGGAGAAGGTGGAGTGGTCACCACCCAACCATCTTTCTCTCAAGCCCAAGCACGGCCATCCTACCAAGCAGATGCAGCCGTTCATGACCGAGGTGGGGTCTCTTCAGGGGGATACCTTTTGACCTTTCAACAGGTAGCTGCAGAGCCTCCACAACCCTCCATGAACCAACAGAGACCAGCCATATCCCAACATGCTGCATTCCCTTCTGAGACAGAAGGTCAGGCTCCTATGTACCAGTCCACAGTGCCTTCCTCCACCTTTGGAGTTCTCCAGTTGAAACCCCTCAACATTTACCCTTCAAGCACCACGTCTCAATCCCCTGAGCCCCAGGAGAGCCAGCATAGCTATTCTGCCTCCTCATCCCCTTTGCCTAAAGAGTCTGAACCGCAAGATGCCAACTACAAATTGGATGGTCTTGTAGCTCACCGTGTAGCTGGTAAGATCACCTCTTTCATAATTCTCAGTTTACTTGCTCAAAGGCACAATAGTAATGGTACATTAGTCAGTCCTTGGGTGACAACCAGCCAAGACATTTAACCTTTAGGCTACATTACTTCTGCATATTTTTATGTATACAGAATGCAAATTGAAACAAGCTATCAAGGGAAATGTAGTAAAGGAAAACATATCCATGCTTGTCTTGAGTGCTTGAGTTAAGCTTGTCTTGAGAGCTTGCCTTTTACACTCAAGGCGGTGCCTTTTTTGGTGGAGTTTCTTTGTTGGCGTTGACATGAGCACTGTGAGATCACAAAGAAAGCTTTGTCCAAAGTGCTTCTGGCTTAAGCCTCAATATCAGACCACATTTCTTTTTTGTGCCAAGCCAAAACCGAACATTTGTACATTACATCTGGAGAAGTGCCCAAACAACTGAGGGCTGTTTTACGGCAGTGAACTTTTTTCTGTGAACATTATCCGTTCAGTTTGAAAGTTTAGAAAGATTTTCCTGGAAGCCTAGGTCTTCTTCTTGTCAATGTTTTTAGAATAATGGCAGCACGTAAGAGTTGTTTGTTGACCCAGTCTTGTTTTGTTGCAGGCTAAATTCACCATGACTTGATTAGTTTTTTCCAATGTTGAGTTTCAATTACAGATGTTATTACAAAGTCTATTACATACTGCTGATGGATCTTACAACCCAAAATGTCATAAACACTATATATATGTATGTGTATATATATATATATATACATATA